TAAGGTTCAATATGGCTGGCTTTATGTTGAGGTCTTTGATCTATTTGGACTTGAGTTTTGGGCACGGCCATAGATACAGGTCTATTTTCATTCTTCTACATGTTGATATCCAGTTATGCCAGCACCACTTGTTAAATATGCTTTCTTTTTTCATTTGATTTTTTTTTTTTTTTTTGCTTCTTTATCAAACATCAGGTGTTGGAAGATGTGTGGATTGATATTCAGGTCTTCTATTCGGTTTCATTGGTTCTCCTGTCTGTTCTTATGCCAATACCAGGCTGTTTCCAGTACTGTAGCTCTGTAGGAGAGTTTGAAGTCAGGGATTGTGATGCATCCAGAAGTTCTTTTATTGTACAGGATTGTCTTGGCTATCTTGTTTTTTTTTCTTTGCTTTTTAATATGATGTTGAGTACTAATCTTTCGAGGTCTTTGAAGAATTTTTGCTGGGATTTTGCTGGGCATTTTGTTGAATCTGTTGTTTCTTAATATCTTCACCAATTTTTTTTCTTGTAAATTTATAGTTACTACCTGGAAGTTTGGCTTGGTAGTATCTACATAGCTGTTCTAGAAATATGCCACCTTCAATGGTAACTCTTTCCAGTTGTTTAAGTTTTGTGAAAACTTTGTTTGTAGGCAGGGTCTCACTTTGAGCCCAGGCTGGCTTTAGACTTCAGCAGTCTTCTTGTAATTCTCAAGTGTTGGGATTACAGGTATGAGTCACCATGCCTGGTTTACATTAGAGATTTTTTGTTTGATTTTTGAGATAGTGTCTTTCTATGTAGTCCTGGCTGGCCTATCATGTTGGAGATATTTAAACTTAACTTTGCAAAATTACAGCAGACCGAAAGAAGTTTTACCTTTTACACTGGGCATGTTGTGCATGGCTTTAATACCAAAGGCAGGGGTATCTCAGTGAGTTTGAGGTCAGCCTGGTCTACATAGCAAGTTCAGGATAGCCAGGGCTACTTAGTGACCCTGCTTCAAAAAACAAGCAAGAAAAAAACCCAAGAAAATTTATCTTAAATTGTATGTGTCTGAAAACCCTAAATCACAGATTCTTCTCAGTTTATGGGTTTACATACACTCCTACTTTTTAAGTTGGAGATTTAATGATAACCTTACCTGTTGAACAGAATAGCTTGGCAACATAGTATCCTGTAGAGTAGAGTGGGTCACCCTGTTATTTGTTTGGTGTGTGTGTGTATTTAAATTTTCCTCTCTGAAGTTGTTCAGGGAAATTATTATATATGACGAGGAACCAAACCGAATAAGTGCTATAGGTATAGGAGGGTGTGCCAGTTCTTTTTCCCAGTGGCTGTTATGAGGATGACTTCACACCGTCATGACGAGTGGGAAGTATAAAGTGCAATAGTGATGTAAGTTTAAGGAGTGAGGTGCATGGCAGGATGGAGAAGAAATAAGAGGGTGGAAGATGAGGTTGGAAAGGGTCCAAAGGCCTTTTCTATAGCACACACAGGATTCAGACTTCATTCACTTTGTAACAGCAGGTTTAGATCGATCCCAGTGCTACCCCCTTCAGCCCTTGCCCATTAGAATCTTAGTGAGAACCTCTAGAGATGTGGAAAAGCATGAGACAAAGTCAGGGAACCATGCCGTTGGTATTAATCTGGGGTGGGGAGAGAACTGGAATAGAAGCAGGGCCAGGAAATGTAGTAGCAGAAATAACAATTAAAATAATTCAGGTAGACTATGTAAGACTTGGTAATTAGTAAGTGAGAGGGGAAAGTACCCTGAGATATTTTCTCGGATCCTGGCCTTCAGATGTTCAGTAAAGACTAATGTTAATGCATGTGCTGGTCTTTGCCTATAATCCTGGTGCTTGGGAGACTGAGGTAGGAGCCTAGAAAGTTTAGGCCAGCCTTGGTTATAGTGAGACTCAATCTCAAAACAACAACATAGAAGACTAATGTTTTTTTCTTTGCTTTTTAATATGATGTTGAGTACTAATCTTTCGAGGTCTTTGAAGAATTTTTGCTGGGATTTTGCTGGGCATTTTGTTGAATCTCTACCAGCAGTCTCCCTCAGCACTCTATCCCTCCGTGCTCCCCCCCAACTGATCACTTATGTTCCTGACCCCACCCGCCTTCAGTCCACTCACAAAATCTCTTCCATCTCATCTTCCCAGGGAGATCTGGGTGTCCCCTATGAGCCCCCCTTGTTACCTAGTTCTCTCTGGGTCTGTGGATTGTTTGTGCTCTCCTTTCTGTGTGCCTTGAATGAAAGATGGCATAGTGTGTCGGACATGCTCATAAGTGGTAATATATAATTAGCATGAATAACTCAGGAACAGAAGTTCCTCATGGTAGCACCAGCGCTACTCCTTTATACTTCCTTTAAGTAAAAGAGAAATTTATATATTAACTTCAGCAGAGAGGATGTAGATGGTTTTCAGCTATATAAAACATAATTTTATCAGAACAATCCACAGCCTAATTACAATATAAAAACCCGTTACTTGCAAATGCAAGAAACACTAATTTGTTTTGACAATGGCTCTTTGTTACAGTTATAAACAAAAGACAATTATCTGTCATGCTTTAAAAATTTACCTTAAATCTCTCAGTTACTATTTTATCGTGTGTCTGCTAAGTAGATAACAATGCTTTAACATATTAGGAAGTTTTTTCAGAGTAATACCACAATCGTAAAACAGCCCAATAAAAAGACACCCATTAGATAGACAGACAGAGAAAGAGAGAGAGAGAGAACTCTTGCTTTTAATCCCAGCACTCGGGGTCTCTGTGAGTTCAATGTCAATCTGGTCTGCACAGTGAGTTCCAAGACAGCCAGGGCTTTCTAGAGAGATCCTGTCTCAAAACAAGCAAACAAAACCCTTAAGTTTTACAAATATTAAATGAGGGGCTGGAGAGGTAGTTCAGTGGTTAAGAACACTGGCTGCTCTTGCAGAGGATGGGAATTACATTCCCAGCACCTATATGGTGGCTCACAACCATCTGTAACTCTAATTCTAGGGGATCTGACACTCTTGTCTTCCATAGGTACCAGTCTTATACACACTACACAGACAGACATACATGCAGGCAAAACACTTAATATGCATGAAATTTAAATAACAAAGTGTGAGATTGAGAGGTGGCTCAGCAGTTAAGAGCCCTTAGTGCCCTGAGGACCAGTATTTGGATCCCAGTACACATTGTGTAGCTCTCAGCTCCCTGTCATGCCAGATCTTCTGTTCTTCATGGGCTCCTGCACGTATACATACACATGCACACACACGGTAATGCTAGATCCTCTTCTGATCTTCATGGTTACCTGCACTCACACATGCGCCCACACAACCCCTTATCCCCTTTGAGATCAGGTCTTTGTATATAGGCCTAGATTCATAGCACCCTCCTATCAACCTTCCTAGTGCTAGGGTTATAGGTGGGGCACTATCCCCCTTGCTACTGTAATGTTCTTTAAAAGTGAATTCCCCAAAGTATTACTATGTTAAAAATGTAAATTCTTTGAGGTTTTTCATAAATCATACTAGTTTGCTTCCCTAAAAGGCTTGTATGAGTGTTTGCCTAATGCATTAGTAAGCCCATTTCTCCCATGCTCTCAACAAAATGGAATGTTATGTTTAAAAAAAAAAAAAGCCCAAGCCAAAACCTTTTTCTAATTTAAGCTGGTGGTATTTTAAATGGCATGCTTTTAATTGCTAGTAACTTTTAAAATTAATTTTCCTCATTTACTTAATGCATTTATGATCTCTTCTTGGTGTTATCCTTTTATCATTAGAAATGTGTAAGACTTAGTAGTCATCAGCATAGTCAGTAGATGATGCCAGAAGGAAAAGATACATAAAGGAAAGAACAGAGGAGTCAGAACCGAGCCCCCAAGACAGTGACTTTCAAGTAGTAGTTAACCTGACGTCAGTGGAATGAATGTCAGGCTCAGGATGTGAAAAGGGTAGTCAGAGACTTCCCTACTTCAGAATGAATCATTTCTTACACTATTATGCAATGCGTTTACTTAGGTAATTGTTATTCAGTTTTTTTCAGTTGTTATTCAATTGTTTTTATATTTCCCTGTGTCCTCAGCTAGAGTGACAGCAATGGCCGATTTCTAGTTTAGTCTCAGTTCCTTTATGGGGTGTTTTTTTCCTTCTCTGTGTAGCTCTGACTGGCTCTTGTGGGTCACAGAATTCAGAAATGGTAGGATTTAGAATAACAGTTTCATTGTTTAGCATGGGAGGTCAGCAGTACAGGAGAGGAACAAGAGACAAAATCTAACAGTCAGAGTCGTTCCTGAGCAGTTGCACCTTATAAGTCTACAAGCATTAGAGGCAGTGAGGTGTGGGACTGGAGTTGCTGAAGTAGTTGAGTAAGTACTGAAAAGGCTGCCATATTGGTACCACAGCCTATAATCAATCTAGTACCAGGGAGGCTGAGGAAAGAGAAAAAAATTAAAGGCCAGCCTAGGCTACATAGGGAGACCCTATTAAAAAAATGTTTAGAGGATTTTGTGTGTGTGTGTGTATTTACCATGTTTACTATTAGGGCCAGGCTTGATAGTGCACACTTTTAATTCCCACTTGGGAGGCAGAGGCAGGTGGATCTCTGTAAGGTCAGCCTGGTCTACAGAGCAAGTTCCAAGGCAACAGGACTACGCAGTGAGACCCTGTCTCGGAACAAACAAAACTTTACCATCTTGTCGATTCAGCCAAAGGGAAAGAAAGACAGCCAGTTAATTCTCAGTATTGCATGCCAGCCTAAAGGAGCATAGTGTGAACAGGACAGCTGTGTTCAGCTCTGGTTTGAGTTTTGGTCAGTTCTTGCACTGACTCCACAAGTGAGCTAATAATGTGCCTAGCCATTTCTTGAGCCTTTTTAAGGAGACGGGCACGGGTACAAACCTCCCAAGATGATTCCTGAAATAACTTGATTCCTTTGCTTTAAGTTATGACTCTTCAAGTAGTTCATAAAAATTTTCTTAAAATTTGTAAGTAAGTTTTCTTAATTTTTTAACTTCAGGGAAGACATACAAGGAATTTGCATAAGACAGCTGTGCAAAATGGGGCCGGAGGAGCCTTATTTGTGGTAAGTAATCAAAATTCCTCATAATGGAAAGACTTGGAAATTTGAGTGAGTCTACTGTAATATCTTAAATTGTGGGGTATGTTACCACTCTTGTGGCCTAGAGTGTGCAGGATTGAATGCAAAAGCTTTAAATCTCTGTTTTAATTTTGTGTGTGACTAAGAGCATGCATATGCACTGTGTCCATGCAGAAGCTGGAGAAGGTTATAAGATACTGTTAGATCCTTAGGAACTGGTGTTATGGGCAGCTTGAGCCGCCATGTGGTTGCTGGAAACCAAGCCTGAGTCCTAAAAACTGCTCATATCAAGATAAACACACACAGCATCTAAAGCTTTCTGATTTGTACACCAAAACTGAGGTGCTTATAGAGACCACCTAGAGTTAAAAATGTGAAGCCAAAAACATGGAGGCCGACTGCTCAGTAAAGTAATCTATTTATTACATAGGAATGCCCTGGCTATATTACTATTTCAAACAAATACCCTTTAGGAATTTCTCAAGTTATAACCTTGTTCCCTTCAGCCAGCCAACATGACTGACTTTTAAGACCATGGAGTCTGACCACCATGTTAGGTGGTCATAGTAACTTTACTAAACAATAACCCAAATTCTTATTCCTAGATTCTCTTAGGTTCCCAGGTGTTAGTTTCTATTTGAGAGGGTCAGCTAGAACCAAACATCATTTTACAAGCTATATTTAAATTTCTACAATGGCCAATATATGCCAAAAACACAAGTATAAAGTAAGGTTTTGGTGTTTTGAGTGGGAGAAAAAGCTCAGAGGTTAAGAGCACTTGCTATCTGTGTTGCTGGCTGTCCCAGAACTTGGTATATAGAGGAGGTTGGCCTTGAACTCACAGAGATTTCTGTGGGTTTTTTTTTTCTTTCTATTTTTGGTTTTTTGAGAAAGGGTTTCTTTGTGGTACAGGTACCCTTAGAGACCAGAAGGGACCACTGGATACCCTGGAACTGGAGTTAGGAGTTATAAGTTGCCAAGTATGGCTGCTAGGAACTGAACTTCAACCCTCTGCATTAGCAGCAGGCTTTTCTAAACTCTAAGCCATCTCTCCAGCCTATATGTACAATTTTGTGTCTTAATTACATAGGGCTGCCAGTTTATATTTGATAGCCCATTCCTAGTGAAACTGGATAGCTATTTTTTGGGATTTATTAATCTTTATTAATCTTGTTTTTATTTGTGTGTGTGTTTAGCATAGAGATACTCCTGAGAATAACCCAGATACTCCATTTGATTTCACACCAGAAAACTATAAGGTATGATTAAGTAAACAATATAAGTGATTTATCAAGTACTCAATTGTTTTCATCGGTGTAAAAGGGATTTTCCTTTTACAGAGGATAGAGGCAATAGTGAAAAACTACCCAGAAGGGCATAAAGCAGCAGCTGTGCTTCCAGTCCTGGATCTAGCCCAAAGGCAGAATGGATGGTTGCCCATATCTGCTATGAACAAGGTACTGAATTCAGTTTTGCCTTAGCAAACAGGAAAGGTTGTGTGTAATAACTTCTTTATATAGAAATCATCATGGTAATCATTAATATCAGAGTTTAGGAGTTTTGGGCCCTTTAGTCTCTTTCCCTCTCTCAGACAGACAGACAGATATAACCTCCTTAGTGTTTTGTTTTTCTTTTTCTTTTTTTGTCAGTTCCCTTAATAAAGTTTTCATTCTTGCAGGAAAACAGGCATCAGTGTGAAAGAGGTTTCTGTCTGCCCCGCCATCATCCTGTGTCCTTCCGTGCTCCCTCCCCCAACCTTTGAAGGGAAATAATCTTAATGAAAAAAATCTCAAATGTGTATAATTTAGTATGAAGGCATTTTCAAAATTAATGCAATGTTTTAACACTAAAATTACAGTGTGTGGGGGTGTGAATATCCCTTACTAAATGTCATCTCTTAATATTTTGACATCTTTGTTGTAATCTTTAATAAAAGTCTGTATGTAATATATGGTATGTATGACATTTCTCACTTTCAGAACTGGCATTCAACTCACTTCAGCCTATGAATAAACTGTAAGATTCATCCTCTCTTCTTCTGAGACAGGGTCTGTCTGACATACTAGCCCAGGCTAGTTTTGTTGTTTTTTTTTTGTTTTTTGAGACTGGGTTTCTCTGTAGCTTTGGAGCCTGTCCTGGAACTCACTTTGTAGACCAGGCTGGTCTCAAATTCAAATATCCACCTGCCTTTGCCTCCTGAGTGCTGGGATTAAAGGTGTGCATCACCACCATTGCCCAGTTTAGCCCATACTAGTTTTTTTTTTTTTTTCTCTGTGTAGCAGCCCTAACTGTCCTGAAACTAGCTCTTGTAGACCAGGTGGTCTCAAATGCACAGAGATCCGCCTGCCTCTACCTCCCGAGTGCTGGGATTACAGACGTGCACCACTACTGCCTGGGAAACCCAGTTTTCATGCCTCAGCTCCCAAGCACTAAGATTAGAGATGTGAAGATTAATTGCTTTCAAACAGTTTTAGCAATAATCTAGATTTTAGTTTACTTATAGCCTGTTAATACAGCAATTACATTCATGTGACAATATAACAGTTCATTTATAAAGTGCTGTATAAATCCAACTAATTGTATTTTCTTCTTGACCAGCTGTCATAGATATCCTATTGTAGCTCGCTCACTCTCATCTTTATTTTCTAAACTTTATTTTGTTTAACTGTTAAGGTAGAATCACAAAAAGGAACAAAAGACAAAGCTATCATCCTTATTCAGAGACTAGGAATAGACTTTATCTAATAACCACCAATGCAAATTTTAGGTTGTGTTGATTTTTTGTTTGCTTCATACACTTCCCTAATACTGGAATAATGTTACAAAGCTTTATTTAACTAAATGTTATCCTTAGTAAAGACATTTGGTTAATTTTTTCAGAAAACTTGATGTAAAATGGAGATGTAGCTGAAAGAGCATTTGCCTATCAACTCCAAAACCCTGTGTTTAATCTCAAGCACTAAGAAAGAAGGAAAAAGCAAAAATAGTATGACACATAGTGCTTGTGAAAAGTGTTTTATTTGAAATTATACCTGTTTTTAAACTCTTTAAAAATATTTTAAGCCAGGCCATTGTGGCTCATGCCTTCAATCACAGCACTCAGGAGGCAGAGGCAGGTGGATCTCTGGAGTTTGAGGTCAGCCTGGTCTACAGAGCGAGTTTCAAGACAGCCAGGGCTACACAGAGAAACGCTGTCTTGAGAAATCAAAAGATATATATATTTAGCATGTGATGTATATGTGGACATATGTATGCCACAGCATGTGTGGAGGTTAGAGGACAATTCTGTAGAGCTAGTTCTGCAAGTTCAGTCTTGATTCAGTCTTTATGAGAGTTCCAGAGATCAAACTCAGGTCATCAGTCTTCTGTGGTAAGTAAGCAAGGTCTTTTATTTGCTGAACCATTTTGCCAGCCCATTTTTTTTTCAAAAAATGTTTTTAATAATGAGAAATCTCTCCTCTGTCTTGTTGCTAGTAAGCCTCCGGGAGAAGACAGAACAAGTGACAGTGTAAGAGCACTTAGGAATACTGAGTTGGGTGCATTACACTTCAGGTAGTAAACATTGTAACCATCTTCTTTAATGTCTTAATATTTTAGGTGGCAGAAGTTTTACAAGTACCTCCAATGAGAGTATATGAAGTAGCAACTTTTTATACAATGTATAATCGAAAGCCAGTTGGAAAGTACCACATTCAGGTCTGCACTACTACACCTTGTATGCTTCGAGACTCTGACAGCATATTGGAGACCCTTCAAAGAAAGCTTGGTATGGGATACTTCATTTCTTTTGTTAACAGTACCAAGATCAGCCCAGGGTGTAGTTACATAAAACCTTAATGCCCAGCACTTGAGAGGCAGAGACAAGCGGATCTACAAAGTGAGTTCCAAGACAGACAAAACTACGTAGAGAAACCTTGTTTTGAAATACCTCCCCCATTTCTCCATCCCTCTCTCCCCCCCGAAAAAAACCCAACAACACCAAGATGGTCTAACAGGCTACGGTGGTGCACACCTATAATCTTAGCACTCAGGATGCTGAGACAGGATTGTTGAGCTCTTCTAGGTCAGTCTAGGCTATATAGTGAGCTCTGGGTTAGCTTGGGCTATACATTCAGAACCTAGCTCAGTAGCTCCTTTCTGTCTATACTCCCTGCCTTCCAGATCAAATTGTCTTTCTAGATCTGACATTTTCCACCTAAAATTTTCAACTTCAATTTATCTTATTTGGTTTGTGCTTTCTTGATACTTAAAAAAAACATTTGCTTTTATTTCTAGTTTGTTTTTTTTTTTGATTTTCAGCTTCAAGTCTAAGCTTTTAATCTATGTTAACCATTAAGTGTGTTTATAAGGCTTCTAGGAAAGTTGTCTTTCATATGTCAGCATTTGTCACAAAACAAAGACTGTTGGTGGCCTGGAGAGATGGCTCAGCTTAATGTACTGCTTTTCGGAGGACCCCAGTTCAGTTCCTACCTAGCATCTGTATATCAGGTAGCTCACAACCATCTCTTGGGGTATCTGCACACACACAAGTGAAAATAATTATAATTTTACGATGTCCATGTACTTTTCCAGAGAAGCAACGGAGTAAGTAGCAATAAGGGAAGTTTTAAATAGGTCTAAATAGAGCATACTTATAAAATAATTGTCCGTTTTCCATATAAAATTGCCATTGTTGCTTTTTTAACTTTGTGAAGTTAAAGTATCTTCCTGTACTGAAGAAACAGGACTTCACACTAGAGGCGAGCACTTTCAACACTGACTTGCATCCTCAGCCCCCCCCCCCCCCCTTTTTCAATTTGTTTGAGATAGGATCTTACTGAGTTGACCAAGCTGTTCCTGCTTGTAGTCCTCAGTCTTTCAAGTAGCAGATCTTTGTCATCAGTTGTGGCTTTTTTTCTCTTCGAGTCCTTGCATGCCACAGACGCATTTAGGTGATGTTTAAGTATATAAGGCAGGAAGCTCAAGTTGGCCCCAAACCCAGCTCTAAGGCTTAGATTCTGATAGCTGCTTGGTATGTAGTATGTAGCACCACTAATAAAAACGTAGAGACAGATATTGGGGTTCAACCTGAAGACCAGAAAAGCAAAGCAACCAACCACTAGAGAGATCTTTTACCTCTACCAAGTCTTCAGACCAAAAGGGCAAGATTCTATCTCCATGAATCCGCAGGCTCCACTCCAGTCAGCTCCTCCCCTTTATTCTCCTCTCTCCATCCAGCCATATTGCTCCTGTCTCCAAACACTGGGGTTAAAGGTGTGAGCTACCACCACCTGGACCTGTTTCTGGATCAGTCTTGTGTAGCCCAAGGTAGCCTTGAACTCCCAGAGATCTATCTGCCTCTGTCTCCTGAATCCTGGGATCAAAGATGTGCGCCACCACTCCCTGACCTCTAGTAGCTTAACTTTGCATTCTGACCTTAAGCTTTATTTATTGAAATACAAATAAAATATCACTATAATATTAGTTATGTCAGGTTTTATATCCTTTCTTATTTAACACATAAAGGTAATAGATCTGTGCTTACATTGGGTGGTATAGCTGGACTTTTTGTAAAGCACAGTGTTCACATCATTTTGCTATTACAGATGGAGTTACCCTAGTATTTTCATATGTATACATTGAATATTCTTCATGTTGTGTATTAAAATTGTGTATAAGAAAAATTGCCGCTGGGCGGTGGTGGCGCACACCTTTAATCCCAGCACTCAGGAGGCAGAGGCAGGCGGATCTCTGGGAGTTTGAAGCCGGCCTGGTCCACAAGAGCTAGTTCCAGGACAGGCTCCAGAGCTACAAAGAAACCTTGTCTCGAAAAACCAAAAAAAAAGAAAAAAAAAAGAAAAAAGAAAAATTGCCAAGTCATACTTCCCATATTTTACCAATGTCTTCCCTTGAGTATATGAGTATTCCTTAATAATCTTTGATCCTCGGTTTTAATCTCATGGTATAACTGTATTATTAGCAGTCCAATTATTTGCTTTTTTTAAATGACTTTATTTTTATGTTAAATAATGTGTTTGTGCAGTACCCACAGTGGCCAGAAGGCCTGAGACTGGAGTTAGAGGTTGTGAACCACTTGTGGGTTCTGGGAACCAAACCCAGGTCCCCTGCAAGGGCTGCCAATGCTCTAACTAGCAATTTCTCCAGCTCCTATTTACTTGCTTGTTTTGAAACTTGAGGGCAATTTTATTAGTTTAAAAGGAAAACCCCAAAGCAGGCATGGAGGTAAGCCCTGTGGCAAACCAGCAGCTAGGTGGTAGGGAAGTAGTTCAGTATCAGCACAATGTGAATGAAAACTGAGTAAGCCCTGCTCTCCAGGCCTTTATTGACTATAAAGGAACAAGCCTACTTAAGAAAGCATGGCACAGTAGATTTTATGTTTTTATTTATTTTGAGATGGAATCTTGCTATATAGTCCCGGCTGACCTTGAACTTGAGATCTGTCTTGCTTTCCAAGTGCTGATTTATATTTTGCTTGGTTCTTTTCATTTTTTACAGAAATTTAATGCACATCAATATTTTTATATACCTCTGTAACATATTGTTGCTATGCCATTTTTCTTAAACCATACTGTTTTTAAGCTATAATCTATTTCTTACAGTCATCATTTACATTTTTAGGAATAAAGGTTGGAGAGACTACACCTGACAAACTCTTCACTCTTATAGAAGTGGAGTGTTTAGGGGCCTGTGTAAACGCACCAATGGTTCAAATAAATGACAACTACTATGTGAGTATCCAACTTCACTTAAGCTAATATTCCAGAGTATCCTATTTAAAATACTTTATTTCATGCCCATGCGTATTAGTTCTTGAGTTACTCATTTAGAAGAAACTATTTATGGAAGTATCTAGAAGGTTTTAAAAGATTTATCTTTAAACATTTTTCTCCAGGATTTGATAAACTTTTTTTTTTTTTTTTTTTTTTTTTTTTTTTGGTTTTTCGAGACAGGGTTTCTCTGTGGTTTTGGAGCCTGTCCTGGAACTAGCTCTTGTAGACCAGGCTGGTCTCGAACTCATAGAGATCCGCCTGCCTCTGCCTCCCGAGTGCTGGGATTAAAGGCGTGCGCCACCACCGCCCGGCTGATAAACTTGAGTTTTAAATTAAGATGAATTTAATCATTTACATATAGTAGAAGCCAAGATGTAATAACAACACTTTAGGGCATTTACTTAGATAATATTGTCTATTGATATCATTTGCAGAAGAAATTATACATATAAGTAAAGCACCTCAAACCTTTTTCTCTGCAGATACTTCCTCTCATAATTTAGTGTGGATCCTTCTTATAGATGTTTAAAGCTTTTTCTGTATAGTTTATATCTGTAGTAATATGTGATATTGCTTACGTTTTTAAAATGTGTAACATTTAAAATGTTTTTAAATGTATAACATACCTCTATTACATTTTTAAGAAATTTATTTTTTTTATGTGCATTGGTGTTTTGTAGTGGATGACAGGTCTCCTAGAATAGGAGTTACAGACAGTTACGAGCTGCTGTGTAGGTGCTAGGAGTTGAACCTTGGTCCTCTGGTGGAGCAGACAGTGGTTCTTAACCACGGAGCCATCTCTGCAGCCNTTTTTTTTTAAAGATTTTATTTATTACATATACAATACAGTGTTCTGCCTCCATGTCAGAAGAGGGAACCATATCTCATTGTAGATGGTTGTGAGCCACCATGTGGTTGCTGGGAATTGAACTCAGGACCTCTGGAAGAGCAGTCAGTGTCCTTAACCTCTGAGCCATCTCTCCAGCCCCTATGTGCCGTTTTCTAGTTAGCATTTTAAAATTACTTGCTGTCCCAATTATATCATGGTTTATCATTATAGTATTTTGTTGGCTTATATTTCTTTTGTTTTCAGACAAGGTTTCTCTATGTAGCCCTGGCTGTTTTGCATCTCTCTCTGTAGATCAGGCTGGCCTTGACTCTAAAATTTCACCTGCCTCTGCCTCCTGAGTGCCAGGATTAAAGGCACAGGACACCACCATCCAGCTTATTTCTTAGAAATTAGTTCATAGAGATTCCTTGAGGCCTTTGTTGAAGAATGGATTTACCTTAATTGTCCTGCTCGCAGAGATGTTAAAGGTATCTCCAAAGCTGATCTCTTTACAGCTTTTGCTTCATTCATTCTGCAATGCCAAAGTTTCAAGACTAGACATTTTCTTTGCAGGACAATGTACTTTCTAGGTTATCCTTATATCAAATGTACAGCCTTCTTTGGATCTTAACTTTGTGTGGTTAGGTTTGTGGTTATGAAGACTTTGTGCTGGACTGGGGTCTTGTCTATTGCTCTTCTGGTTATTGAAAACTTGGAGACAAATGTATTTGGTGTTTTCTTGCTGATTTTTTTGTTGAGTTTGGCCTGTTATGTATTCCTCAAATAGAAATTAGACAGGGCTTTGTATGAAGCATGAATCTTGATACAGTAGCCTACAGGCATTTTTTTTTTTTCAGTTAGTAGTTAGAGCTTTTGATTCAGGCTTCTGCTTATCAGTTAAAACTATTGGTGATAATTATTCATTGTACTTACTGTAATGTTTCTTCTCTTGTTCCTTGGCACTTTTTTACTTGATGTTTTTTTATTGTCTTAGTCACTGTTCTTATTGCTATGAAGAGATACCATGACCAAGGCAACTCTTATAAAAAAAGAAAGCATTTAATTGGGGCCTTGCTTGGTTTCAGAGGTTTAGTCCATTATCATGACAGGAAGCTTGGCAGCAGGCATTGTGCTGGGGAAGTAGTTGAGAGCTGCATCCGGATCCACAGGCAGCTCTATGAGGGCTGACACTAGGCTTGGCATGAGCTTTGAAATCACAAAGCCCACCTCCAATGACACACTTCCTTCATCAAGGCCATCTCCCAATCCCTTCAAAAAAATGCCACTCCCTGGTTACTAAACATTCAAATATATGGGGTTTCGGGGAGGTGCTGTTCTTATTCAAACCACTTAAGTAATTTTCAAAACAAGTTCAGATTGAGTTATCAGTAAAGGAACTTGAGAGAGGTAGAGAGTGGTGAGGCCAGAACTCAAATGCAGAGGTTTCACTTGTGTAGGAGTCCACTTATGTGTTCCCAGGTGCTCAGCTCCAAAATAATTACACAGAAACCATATTATTTGCAGTACTGTTTGGCCAATAGCTTAAGCGTATTTCTGGCTAACTCATATCTTAAATTAATCCATCTCCATTAATTTGTGTATTGACACAAGGCTGTGGCTTACTGGGTAAAATTCCAGCATCTGTTCTGGTGGGGCTACATGGCTTCTCCTGATTCCACCTTCTTTTTCCCAGCATTCAGTTTAGTTCCTCCCCTACCCCAGCTAAGTTCTGCCTTGCTATAGGCCAAAGCAGTTCTTTACTCATTAACCAATAAAAGCAACACACAGAAGGACCTCCCATACCACACTTGAAATAAATGTAGTTTTGACTCTTTGGCTAAAGCTCTTGATATATTACATTATATATTAAAGTTATTCAGTTGTAGCTATCTTGGTAAATAAATAAATGAATTAATTTTAAGGATTTACAAAATTTTTTATAGCAGTAATTCATTAATGGCTTCAATTTTTCTATAGGAGGACCTAACACCCAAGGATATTGAAGAGATTATTGATGAACTCAGAGCTGGGAAAGTTCCAAAACCTGGGCCAAGGTATACTCTTACTTATCTATAATAAACCCTGACAGCGTGACCTACACTGTAGTAAGCATAACCTTAATTTTTAAGAATTTTATTCTCATAAATGCTGACTGGAAATTTACATATCTAAAGTTGTCACCTGGGCAAGATAAACTTTTCCTTAAAAATCTGTAAGATCAGGCTGGGGAGATGGGTCAGTGTTGGTAATGTTCTTTCCATGTAAGTGTAAGGATAGGTGTTAGAATCCTAGAACACATATGAAAGCTGAGTGTGAATGGTGGTCGGGCTACAATCCCTGTTGGGAAGAGGAGTCAGGGAATCCCGAGCAAGGTGACTGACCAGCATGGCTATAACACAAACTGAGAGTTCAGCCTCCAGGTACACATACATTTCATACACATATGGAAAAGAATCTTATAAAATAATCTGATCTACCAGAACATTTATACTGAAAGAGAATCATATGCAAATAGAAGTCTGTTGCTTAAAAGTTCATATTACTAGAAGATTGATCTGAAGTTAGCTTCCTTCTTATTTCCACCTAATGATCCAGTTTTCCCTTTCAATCAATACAGGATAATTTAAAATATTTTTAAGATTATTATGTTCATGTATAGTGTGTATGTGGAGGTCAGAGGATAACTTTGTGGAGTTGGTTCTCTCCTTACACCTGTACAAGAGTTCCAGGTTTTGAATTTGTGTTGCTCACCATTTGCAGCATTCACTTTTTTCTACTAAGCCATGTCACAGATCCCAATACAAAGTAAGCTTTATTATTGTTTTTTTCTCTTAGTACAAATCGTTTAAATACCTTTTCCAAAAAATAATGGTTACTTTTCTTGAAATAACAATCTTGTATTCTTCCTATCTTTTTTGTCATATTGAATATCACAGGATCTTTAATTGGTTCTTCTAATACGACATAGTTTGATTTCTCAACTAATTATGTACAGCCATATGCCACATAATGATATTTAATCAGCAATAGACCACAGATAGTACCAAAAAATTACAATAAAGCTGAAAAGTTCCTTTTATATTATTGACAGGGTCTTACTTTGTTGCCCTGGCTGGCATGGAACTCTAACTATATAGACCAGGTTAGCCTTGAACTCACAGAGGTCTATCTGCCTCTGCCTCAGAGTGCTGAGATTAAAGGTGTGTACTACCATACCTGGTCAGAGTTCTTTTTTAAGAAAATAATGTGTAAACGTTAATCACTAATAATCATTACTTGCTTTTCTTTTCAGGAGTGGGCGTTTCTGTTGTGAGCCAGCTGGAGGCCTTACCTCTTTGACCGAACCACCCAAAGGACCTGGCTTTGGTGTGCAAGCAGGCCTTTAACTTATACTCATCTGTAAAAACTGTCACTGGAGAAATAAAATATGAGCCTATCTGCAAATGCTTCATACTGTTTGTTTCTCTCCACTGTACGGCTCGGCAATAACCTAGCAACTTGCAGCTGTTAAGTATTATGTCAAAACAACAAAACATCACCTTAGTCTACCTGTAAAGACTCTTATTATAATCAAGTTACTCTAGTGTCACCATTTTAAATTGCCAAGTCATTTCTATCAGTATTAGGTTATGATGAAATAAAAGTTCTCCAAATCTCAAACATGTTTTTCTTTCCCATCTCTAGATGTGGCCAAGTTTTATGTTAACATTTTCTTTTTATACGCCTTATCAGTATTTTCATTAAACATTTCAATATTTAAGCATACAGTCATTACCATATTTCTAACTTGTAAACCTCACTGTTAGTAATAGGGGTAAGAGGGTTTTCTCTAAAAGCATTTTATGTTTGTGTTGAAATAGGTTCCCATTCTGTAGCCCTTGGTTGTATGTAGACCACTGCCTCCCAAGTTTAGGATTACAGTAAAAGCATTACTAGTAGGAAGAAAAGTTAAGCCAATTTGATGTTATCTTTGATCATAACCTATTCATTCATTTATTTGTTTATTTATTTGTTTAGATACAGGCTCTCCCTCTGTAGACCAGGCTGGTCCCGTCCCCTGAGTGCTAGGACTAAAGGTGTGCACCTGCCACCACATGTGGCCTTTTATCTGTATTTTGTCGTTGTTTTGAGGCGGGGTTTCACCGCCTTTTGCTATATTCTTAACAGTGAAAGGACACAATAATTAACTGATGGAGTTAGTGTGATGCATTTTAGAAATTGGTGAATATGGATAACATGTTTGTATGAATAAAATTCTTACATTCAGTTAAAAAATGACATAATACAGTATTTGGGAAAAGTCAGAAAGAAATAGCTTAATTATTTAATTAATGGAATAATCAGATCGCTTCAGGATTTATCAGTCAGTGGCCTTACAGGTGCCTCATTAGAGGCAATCAGGAGGCAGACGCAGGTTAGAGGTCAGCCTGGTCTATGTAGCCAAGTTCACCCTAGAGTCTATTGACCTAAAAGCAACTTTTTGTTTCTTGTCATCCATATCCAAGTTAAATGTTACATTCCAATAGCAGCCAAGTGCTTTCCTATTTACTGTTCATACTGATTTTTTTTTTTTAAATATGTGAGAGGGACTCCTGCAGGCACGGGACGGGTTTGGAAAGAAAATCTTACTTTTTTTTTTGATGCAGGTTTATGATTCTGACAAGTTCCAAAGTCATGTCAGAATATCCAGCTTGTGACAGTCTTAAACTTCTCATTAGGGTACTAACGGATACTGAAGGAGGCCACAGTTAACGATGAGGGAGAGGATGGTTTCCTGTGGAGTTGTAATTTGGGTGGTTAAGGCACAACGGTTGCAGGCTAACCGTTATAGATAAAAGCCTTCAGAGGAAGTCTGAATACAAGCAGCTAGTGAGATGGTAAAATTTCCTCACACACCCCATGAGACACGGGGTCACACGTGGGCAAATTTATTGAAATTTCTGTCCAGAAAGGTCACAGGATCGATCGTGTGGCTAGGAGCGGACGTAAAGCCGCGTTCATTGCTACCAGTGATCATAACGGTGCTTTGGGGACTGGGTGCGACCGGCAGGGAAGCAGCTGTCTGCACGCACTGCGGCTCGGACGCCAACGCGGACCCGCCCCACACCGCCGAGATGCCCTCCCGTCGGCGCGACCACCGCTAGCAAACCCGTCCCGGTCTCCAGTCGATCTGCGGCCCCAACTCAAACCCAGCAAAACTAGGTGCGTTCCCTTCGCCGAGCGCCGGCACCGACGTCGCCTTGCACGCGGCTCCCACCGCTCCGCGGGCGCGGCTGGCCCGGGAGGCCCAGGACTTCCGGCCCCCTCCGCCCCTCCGCCCGGTTCCGTTCCGCACGAACGCAAACCACCACCGCTGCCGCGCTCGCCGATCCTCCGGAGAGTCAGGGACGGGCGCGTCGGGGGCGGGGCACGGCGGTCACGCCGCCCGTCCCGTGCCTGCAGGAGTCACGTGCCCGCCGGGGTCACGTGCTCGAGCCGCAGCCAATCGCAGAGAACGCTGTCCAGGAGCAAGGAGGCTGTGGTGAGAGACCGACCAAGACCGGAGATGTTTTCAAGCCTGGCCCCGGCGGCATTAAGGGTTGTTGCAGCGGCGGAGACACCGGCAGCGGCGGCCACCCGGAGGCCCTCGATCAGGGGCTGAACCCTTCTGCGTCCGCCGAGCCTCGGGTCCGTGCGGGCCAGGGGGGCGTGGCGACCAGAGGGGAGGAAGGAGGGCGCGGTTTCGAGTCTGTCCCGGGCACCAGGGAGGAGACCCTCAGTTCTGTGCCCCGTCTCCTCCCCGGAGTCAGGTAGGGGGTTGCGCCTCCGCCAGCCGCACCCAGCCGCCACGCGCCGCCCGGCCCGGTCCGGCCCCAGCCCGCGGCGCGGCGCGGCCGTCCGGACCGTGACAGGCCGTTGGTGGCCGCCCCGCCCGGCATCCTGACGGGTCGCGGCGCAGGTGGGGCTGCGGCTGGGCGACGCTCGGGCGGCGGCTAGCGCGAGCGCCTTGGCCGCGGCTTACCGGAACATGGCGCGGCCGGGAGGGCGCCGCCAGCGCACCGGGACGGGCGGCATCGCGGGGGCGCGCCCTGCCGCCGCGCGCTCCCGGTGCCAGGCGCGCTGCGTGCGCGGATGTCGGTCGGAGACACGGTGCGGGCCGGGGCGTAGGAGGCGCGGTGGGTCCCGGGAGAGGTGCGTGAAAGCGGAAGAGCTGCGGCTGGTGTTGTCAGTTCTTTCTTGAATGCCTGTGCGACCTGCCCTTGCCGGCGCTGGGCGATCAGGTCTGAGTTTGTGCCAGTTCCGGTTGGGATGATGTTCGGCGACCCTTAGAGCACGTTGGAATCTTAGATCTGATTTTGAAGAGTTATATGGGGTGACGCATCCTTCAGGATCCAAAGCGTTGAATAAACGGTTGTCGAAAGAGGTCACCGAAACCCAGCTGACAGCTGTTTTAATAATCACGGTGAGAATCGTTGAGGATGGAAGTGGACAGAATTGCACTAGTTGAACACGTAGGGAACATTTGAAGCAGTGTGTTGTAGGGACTATAATTTCCGCTGGACACCTTGTAGATCCAGCAATCGATGACGCTCTGGGATTATCACTAGTTCTGTGGTTGAGATGAACCTTGCATTCTCAGTCATGTGTTTCTTCTTGTTTTAAAATGGTCTATGAGTCGATTATGAAGGCAGACGAACTCTTCATGTACTCATTAAAAACTTATGCTTAAGTCGGCCGTTAAAAATCTTGGTTACTGATCTTTTTCAATTTCGTCAGTCTTTACACAAAGGCTTTCCTGGAGATTAACTCAGAACTGGCAATATGTGCTCTGTTGGTGTCCAGTTTAAACCACTGCGTTAGAATCGCCGACGTAAGGATGAAGATGTTCTGTTACCCTTTAAGAACATTTCAGTACAACATTTAATATTTTAATACATTTGTTTACGTGTGTAGGTATGGGTGCAGAGGTTACAGGACAACTTCCTAGAGTTGGTTCTCTTTTTCCACTGTGTGGGTCCTAGAGCTCCAGTTCAGGCCCTTGTTTTGGTTTCAGGTAGCTTTTACACTCTGAGCTATCTTGACTCCCTACTGTGAACTTTTTGATAGGGCTTTCATTTGGGTTAAAAGCAAAAATATAAAAAAATTCGAAAAGCTTCTCCCGGACTTGATAGAGTGAGAAAGGCTTGACACTTAAGAAACCTTTATGCTTGATAGAAGCACTCATCAAATTTCTGATGCTCAAGAGGGGCGGTGGTGGCGCAAGCCTTTAATCCCAGCACTGGGGAGGCAGAGGCACAGATCTCTGTGAGTTCGAGGCCAGCCTGGTTTACAGAGCGAGTTCCAGGACATCCAGACCATTACACAGAGAAACCATGTCTCAAAAACAAACAAACAAAAAACTCAACAACAACAAAAAAATCTAAGGCTCTACATGACAGCTCAATTCAGGACAAACCTAACTGTTCAACGAGGTGTTTTGTTTTGGAGAAAGGAAACCAGAGGGTTAAGTGTATATTCATTTGTAGATGATTTAAAGCTGGAGAAGTAGAAAGAAGATGGATCAGCTGCTGCTGCCTTAAAACAAAGTCAGTGTTTCTTTGAACTTTAAAATTGTTCCTATGCAGCGTATTTTATTTTTGTTTAATCAAGTAACAGAGGGTCTTCCTGGCGGGGGGAGTTGGAGGTCTTTCTCAATTTCTTACAGTTTCTGTACTTTAAAGTTGTTAACATAGTTTATTGACTAAGCAGAGTTGGAACAGTGGAAATCTCTGGGTATGCATCCTATGAAGTCTGTTTGAGGAGGAGTTAAGAGAACAATAGTGAAAGAGCCCAGTGGCTGAAAATGTACAAAACTTTTTTTTTTTTTTTTTTGGTTTTTCGAGACAGGGTTTCTCTGTAGCTTTGGTGCCTGTCCTGGAACTAGCTCTTGTAGACCAGGCTGGTCTCGAACTCACAGAGATCCACCTGCCTCTGCCTCCCGAGTGCTGGGATTAAAGGCGTGTGCCACCACCGCCCAGCTCTTTTTTTTTTTTTTGGTTTTTCGAGACAGGGTTTCTCTGTAGCTTTGGTGCCTGTCCTGGAACTAGCTCTTGTAGACCAGGCTGGTCTCGAACTCACAGAGATCCACCTGCCTCTGCCTCCCGAGTGCTGGGATTAAAGCCTTGACTACCACTGCCTGGCTTTTGTATTGGTTTTTTATTTATTTTTTAAAAATATTTATTTATTTATTATGTATACAATAGTCTGCTTGCAGGCCAGAAGAGGGCACCAGACCCCATTACAGATGGTTGTGAGCCACCATGTGGTTGCTGGGAATTGAACTCAGGATCTTTGGAAGAGCAGGCAATGCTCTTAACCTCTGAGCCATCTCCCAGCTCCTGTATTGGTTTTTTAATCCAGGAAAAAATACTTGCTGAACTTTATAGAGTACTGGGATTAAAGGCAGGATATAAAGGCGTGTGCCACCACACTCTGCAGTTAATTTTTCTTAAAAAAAATTTTTTTTGAGACAGGGTCTCTCCCAGACTGGCTTTAAATTCAGAATGTCGTTGAAGGATCCTCTTGTGCACTATACCTTTTTTTTTTTTGGCAAGCTCTAAACTGAGTTACATCTCAGCTCCTGTTCCACCACCCCCTTTTAAAAATGTTTATTATTTTTTAAATATATTTTGTTTTTATTTTGTGTACATTCATGTTTTGCCTGTGTGTCAGTGTGAGGCCATCAGAAGCCCTGGAGAACTGGAGTTACAGATGGTGTGAGCCTCATTGTGGGTGCTAGGAATTGAACCCAGGTCTCTAGAAGAGTAGTTAGTGCTCCTAACCACTGAACCATCTCTTCAGCTCCTTAAAGGTGCCGGTGTAGGCATGTACAGGAGTGCAAGGTGTCTTCAGAGGACAGAGGAATTGACCCTCTGGTACTGGGGTTACAGGTGGTTATGAGCCATCTGATGAGGGTGCTGGGACCCCTCATCAACGCAATACTCAACCCTTTTTAATGTTTTGTTTTCTGAGTGGGTCCTCTTAAATTTACTAGACATACTTTTCATCTTTCTTGTGTTAGCCTCCCAAGTACTTCAGATTATAGGCTTGTCCTACCAGTTCTAGTTTTCTTGAAGAATATTAATTTCAGTCTGAAAAGAGAATGGTTAATGAGATTAGTCATCTCTGTCATTGTAGGAAGTTTAACTCCTCCAGCATATAGATTTAAGAACTTTGGAGTAGCATCAATTAGGTAGAATCTCCCTTACACTTACAGTGGGTCGCTTCAGGATTGTTTTTCTGACGGGGAATTTATTGCTAACTTAACATGTATTTGTTATACCCATGTCATGTACAGGGCATATTTGAAGAATTAGTCTTAGGACTAGAAGTGAATTCACATTTTCTAGTCCATGTCCTTCATTTTCCAAATGAAAAAGTGAAAGCTTGGTAAGAAGGTACATGACTTAGAGTTGTCTATATAACCTTAGTGATTTGTCTAGAAGTTTCTTGCTGTGAGATGCTAATGTGTCCTTTATTTAGGAGTAGCTTTATGACGTAGAAGAAAAAAGACTGTGAACTATAACTGAGAAAGTATAGATTTAGGTTCTTTGTCACTTTTATTTTTTCTGACAAATCCTATAACATTCAGAACTTTGTATTCTTCACTTACCAAAAATAATTTCCTCGGGTTGTAGAGTGCTTGGAATGTGTGAGGCCCTGTTCAGTCAGCACCATCACTATCACTAATATTATTGTTGTTATTATTATTATTATTATTCATAATTTCCACAGTTGTTGGGTAGAACAAACGAGAGCATACCAGGAAGTACATTGTACACTGGGAACTTTTATACAGATGATGCTACTGTTACAGAAAATGTAGTTCTCAAGCATAACAAGATGCTTCACTTCAGTCCCTAGGCTTTTGCTTAGCCCCAGCTTTGTTATTTTCTGCACCTGCTATTTTGGGGCTTATAATTCCTTGTAGATACATTTTTTCCCAATCCCTACTTAGTTCTAATCTTGGTAAAGAGGCTTATGAACACTAAACATTGCTTTAGCCCTCCGATTTCTCTTGGAGAATATAAAGTACAGCGTTTGAAAACATTCTTGTTATACACTCATGCATGCATAATTTGTTTCCTTAGCAGACAATGGCTTTTTAAAAGCAATAGTGAACGTATTGATGAGAATTTGTCTTTCTGGTTTCCAGATATGGCAGAGCCAGAAATAAATTTTCTTTATAAATTTGATTTTTAATAGCTCATATATATTCTGAAATATATAAAAAATGCTATGGTGGCTCATGCCTGTAATCCCAGTGCTTAGGAGGCTGAGGTAAAAGACTCGCCCTAAATTCTAAGCCAACCTAGCCACAACATGAGTTAAAGGTCAGCAGCCTAGGTTAGAGGGAGACCTTGCAGAAATATATAGAATATGTCATAGCTTTGTCTGTCTGTCTTCTTTTCTTTTCTTTCTTTCTTTCCTTCCTTCCTTCCTTTTTTTTTTCTTTTTTGAGACAGGGTAGTCTTATGTAGCCCTGGAAGACCTGGAAGTCTCTATGTAGACCAGGCTGTCCTTGAACTCACAGAGATCCATCTGCCTCTGCCTCTCTAGTGTTGTATTTATTTTTTATTTAAAGTGCACATTTTTTCTAGTGTTTTCATTTGATATTGAAAAATCAATAAATTGTTAACAATGTTGCCTAGATTATCAGAGTATTTTTAACTTTGAATACACAAAATATTGATTATCAGCCATTCACGCCTTTAATCCCAGCAGGGAGGCAGAGTCAGGGGGCTCTCCATGAGTCAGAGGCCAGCTTGGT